GAACTAATTGTCGCTAAACAGCAGCAAGGATCAACTTCTTCTCTTTAAAATACATTAACAAAAGGAAATTGTTCTTGAACTTTATATCAACAAGTTCCAACTTTCCCCCTGTGTTACTCCTTGGAATTGCCAAGCACCTGGGAGCAGTGGTCAGGCTGGGACCCTTGGCTCACTGCCAGGAACGTTCCATCTGGGGCTAGTCTCTTGGCCCCTWCATCCTGATTGCCTTCCTCTTTATCAGACCCTGCATACCCCCCCGATACGCATGGACCAGTCTCTCTTTTGTAGTGAGCTTTACAGGACTTACAAGTAGGATGGGAAAATACGACAAAATAAAGCTGAAAATTTGACCTMGAGAATGAGATCGGCTTGATTCTTTCCATCACCAGGTAAATCCGCGCTCCTAAACCTGGCAGGGGCGCAGGATGATGAACCCCAGACCCAGCTGCCTCAGACCCTCCAGTTTTAAGCTGACCCAGAAGCCACCAGACTGTGCAGAGTGGGCAAGGCAAAGGCAACTTCAAGGTCAACGTTCCTCTGACTGGGCTTTGAGGACGACCAAGAGTGCCTGGGCCTCCAGACGGGTGGGAGCGTCCCCATTCATCGTGTTGGACACCGCAGGAGAGGCCTCTGAAACCGTACCACCAGCTGGGGAGGTTTCTCACAGGGGATCTCTCCCGGATCTCGGACATTATTAGTCAGACTGGATCTTTTCTGTTGTACTTTTTCAGCCAGAAGACAATCCCCACCGCTCTCAGGGAATTCGCTTTTTAGGGCATCTCCCAATCTAAAGTTGAGGTTATTTCTGCCAAACTTTGTTTTTATTTTTTAAAGTGTTCTGAAATAGAAAAAATGAGACACACGCACACAAAGTTCTCCTTGTCAGCCACACATAGTTACCCAAATCCAGGCTTCTCCTGTTTTATCTWGATAAGCAATAGACTGTCTATCAGAACTGTAGAAATGACAAAGAGGAACTCCTGTTTTTGGAAATTCAAGATAGTTTTGTGTTCTGCTCTAATTTTATTTGGGCCCCTATTCCAAATTTCAAGAAAATATTAGGATGATCACTAGGAAAGTTGATTATAACCTAAAAACTTCTTTGGTCTTCACTTAATTTTCTAATTACAATGCTGCGCTGTTGGATGAATATTTTAGAATCCTTTCAAAGCCGCAGGTGTGTTTCTTTCCGCAGCAACAAAACTGTATTCGTCTTTACTCAACGTCCTCTAGTGCATGTATATTTGCTATCCAGCACTCGACCAAAAATGCTGATGCGTTCGCCAACTGGCCTCACTGAGTCAATCAATCCAGTTGGGTGTTCTCCCAAGTGAGTGATCAGAGCTGCCCCACCCTGCTGCGGGCAAAGAGGAGGAATTTTTCACATCTCCTATCCTTTGACTACTTCAGTAGTGCATTACTTCGCAGTGCTCCTCTCTGAAACTGTAGAGTCAGTATTTCCCTTCTGATGCTCCACTTTAAGGGGGTCATCTATGAGCCAGGAGATTTCGCTGTGGGTGATTTCTTACCCTCATTGCCCTTACAACAAGGCTTTTATTTGGACTTTCCTTTTGCCACCTTTCCAACTTGCCAGTTCTCTCCGTAGCCCTGGCTCTTTCCCCAATTCTTGAGGGGACAAAGTTCAAGCGCACGTATTTCTCGATTTCCTGCGGCCAGGGGGYACTAAGTGAGCAGCTGAGGTCACCTCCTCCTTGGAGCCTGAAACCTGCTCGCGGGATCCCACCCAAGTGAGGAGAGGGAGCTGAGACAGTGACTCAGAGTTGGCGACGATTAAACCAGGTAACGAGACACCGGGCAGATGTGTTTTCATTGCCCTGTAAGATAAATGCAGTGTTAAGTGCCTGACAACTTCCCAGAAGCAATCAGCAAAAGTTTACGAGTGCATAAACCTCAAAGACCATTCCCCGGCGGTTGTTATAAGGACCGCTTTTAGAGCTTCTATAAATTCTCTCGCCGTTTCCCAAAGCAAAGTTTCTAGTGACTATTAAGCAGCCACCTCCTCCGAGGAGACTAGGGGGATTTTCTTGAACCGCCAAAGAAAGAGGCTTTTGCCTTCTACTGAGTGAAATAAAGTTGCGCAAAAGTTTGTTCCAGAAGTTTGGGAAGAGGAAGGAGGTGGTGGGAACTCGTGGAGGTGGGATCCGGGAAGGGACAATAGATGCCTTTGGGTGTAGAGTTACTAGATTCTTGCGAAAAAAGCAAGATCCGGTGAGGGTCCGGGGGTCTAACAGGGGCACGCAGCGCCTTTGCCACACTTGGGCTCTGCAGAGTACAGGACCGCAAGGCACCTACCGCTAAGACGGCGCCATCACCAGGCCCGGGGACGGTCGACCCTACGCCCTTCAAGTGGCCACTGCGAGACCCACATGAATCCAGGAGTCCAGAGCAAAGTTTTGGACCACAGGAAAGGGCAGGCTGAATGGACATTTAAGTCTGACATCACGGGACGGGTAGCCACCCCACCCAAAGCCTTAAAGGTGTTAGCTTCCATCATTCTATAAGTAGCCTGAGAACTTTGAGATGTTACGATCCTAGGCAAACACGATCCACCTATGTTTATAGAGAAACTTCGTTTATGATCCCAGTGAAAACAAAGCTAATTGAAAAAACAATAACAGTAGCGTGTCTTTAGCTTCCTAAAGGGAGAGGTTAACAGCTGCTAGCGCCGGGGGAGGGAATGAAGGAGGCTAGCCCTGAGCTTGGGACCGCCCTGCACGTAAACTAGCCTTTAGGTCCCCAGCGAGACTCGTGGCCAGGCTCAAGCCTTCACAGGCATGGATTTGGGCCAGGCAATAGAGTCTCTAGCAGTCAGAAGGCTTTCTCAACCTCTGAGTTCCAGTACATCCGAAGGAGCTTAGGTAACCAAGGACTGCGTGGRTCTAAGCAGGGGGCTGTGTTTCTGTCCCTGGAAGATGAGATCTCAAGCAATTATTTTGTAAAGATAGCGCTGGCTGGGCCCTTTTTCATCCTTTCCAGGTGAAAATGCAGACATTTTTGTGTCACCCTCACCCTTCCATTATGAAATAAGGCGCCCAACTGTTCTGATATTACCATTCAAAAACAGGTTCTGTGGTGAACCTCATTTGTGAATCTATTACAGAGATTAATAGATTATTTCTCCTTTTTCAACTAATTCTCAGTGGGGAAATTTAACCATATGGTAAGGAGAGAATTAGAATTTCATCACATTAGAGCAAAATGTAATGAAAAGAGTCCAACACCTGGGGCCAACTCTGAAAGCCACAATTAAAAGGTTTTTAATGAAACCAGAGAAACCAAAAAACTGCACAGCCTTCCGTAATTCTGCCACATAAGAAAGAATTATTGGAGGTGTTGGGAAATATTGTTTTTACTTATGTCATAAGGATGAAAACCAGCTGCTCAATACCATGTGCTCCTAAAGACTCAGCTCTGAAGCAAGAGGACCCAGTGTACCATTTCCCATCCGGAGAGAAGCACTTGTTTTCAGTTCTTCCCTTTACTCACCCTCCAAGAACAACCTAGACAGATCCAGATGTCCCTGAACAGTTAACCTAGATGTGGCAGTTCCAGTTCCGGTTAAATAAATATGCACAAGTGCCCACACTTGGTGTGTGAGAGGATCTAACTCTTGGTATTGACTCTTGTAAAGCAACTGGATTTTAATCTTGAGGAAAGTTTAAGACACCAGTTTCTTCCTGTTTAGAAAATAGTGTGTTTTATAGTTACCATCACCACAGCAGTTATTTGGGTATCATTGTGTAAACACACCGGCTACTCCTTCCTTTAAAAAAAAAATCAAATGGGCTGCATAATAATCAATTTATTCTTCGTTTTGCTTTTAAATTTTTTTTTTCAATCCGGGTAGGAACTGGGCAGTGGAGGGGTGTGGAAAAAAGGAAGAGTGTTGGGGGGGGGGGACACGATTGCTTTGCTCTCTTACTAGCTGAAAATCTAGAGCGAATTTTGGACAAGCCTGCTGGGACACCACCTTCCCCCTGGAAAGTCCCATTTCCAAATCCAGACCTGAGACATCCGATGAACAGGGGTGGAGTATAATTCTCGCCTGAAAGGGTAATTTAGCACAAGCTGAAACAGCAGTGGTGAGGGAAGGGCAGTGGGGGTGGGGTGCGGTGGGTGGGGGCGTCTGCTTTCCATGGGACTCCCAGGCTTCTCCGCCGATCTACAATTTGCTGAAGGAGCAAAGAACATCCTCGGCTCTAAGTAGGGCTTTTAGTGTGCTCATTGATGAGTGAAAGTCGCCACACATGTCAAGCTAAAGGCAGTTGTTGGGTTACTAACAGGACCCAGCGCCTTGCAAACATATGCGCTAAGCTGTGTATACAGATGGCAGGCAGAATAATGGAGCAGGCGCCTTTTATAAAGCTCTAGCTGCTGCCTGTCTTCAGACCTGGGAAATGAAACTATTCAGACTCGCGGCCAGATAGCGCCTGCGATTGTTTGTTACCGTTTTAATCCTATTAATTAAAACGTTAACCTGATTGGGTAGAAAGCGCTGTCCCAACAGGCGAGTCTTCTTCATAATAACCTACTCAGAGATAATGATGTAAAAGACTCCCCCGTCTGTGGCGGCGGCTGGTTGATGGGTCCGGAAATCTCTTGAAGGTGAATCCAAGCAAGATAAACGGTGCGGAGAGGAGGCGCGGGGCTGGGCTCAGAGCGGCGGCGGCGGCGGCGGCGGCGGCGGCTCCACTCCCTCTGCTCCCACCCTCCCACCATGCGGGGCCGCGGCCCATGGTGAGCCCCAGCAGCCAGCACCATCGGCTGGAGACGAAAAAGAAAAAGAAGAGGAGGCGGCGAGCGCGGGGGAAGGCGAAAAAGAAAAAGAAAGAAGGGGAGAGGGCTGCCGGCAACACCGGGACCGACGCGCGCACCAGCTCCGGAGCCCGGCTCGCGCGCGTCTGTGGGGCCGCCTGACTCCCGAGCCGAGGCGGCGGCAGCGGGTGCGGAGGGCCCGGGCTGCACGCCGGCACCGGACCATGGAGCGCGGGCTGCACCTCGGCGCGGCGGCCGCGGGTGAAGACGACCTCTTCCTTCACAAGAGCCTGAGCGCCTCCACCGCCAAGCGCTTGGAGGCGGCTTTCCGCTCCACGCCCCCGGGCATGGACCTGTCCCTAGCGCCGCCGCCTCGGGAACGCCCGGCGTCCTCCTCCTCGTCGCCCCTAGGCTGCTTCGAGCCGGCTGACCCCGAGGGGGCAGGGCTGCTGCTGCCGCCGCCTGGAGGAGGTGGCGGAGGTGCGGGAGGTGGCGGCGGCGGGGTGAGTGTCCCCGGGCTGCTCGTGGGCTCAGCCGGCGTTGGGGGCGACCCTAGCTTAAGCAGCCTGCCGGCTGGGGCCGCCCTATGCCTCAAATACGGCGAGAGCGCGAGCCGCGGCTCGATGGCCGAGAGCAGCGGCGGAGAGCAGAGCCCCGACGACGACAGCGACGGCCGCTGCGAGCTGGTGCTCCGGGCCGGAGGCACCGACCCGCGGGCATCCCCAGGCGCCGGAGGTGGCAGCTCCAAGGCGGCAGAGGGCTGCTCCAAYGCCCACCTCCACGGAGGCGCCAGTGTCCCCCCGGGGGGCCCCGGCGGCGGCGGGGGTAGCAGCAGCGGTGGCGGTGGCGGCGGCAGCAGCAGCAGCAGCAAGAAATCCAAAGAGCAAAAAGCACTGCGGCTCAATATCAACGCCCGGGAGCGCCGGAGGATGCACGACCTGAACGACGCGCTGGACGAGCTGCGTGCGGTGATCCCCTACGCGCACAGCCCCTCAGTGCGGAAGCTGTCCAAGATCGCCACGCTACTGCTAGCCAAGAACTATATCCTCATGCAGGCTCAGGCCCTGGAAGAGATGAGGCGCCTTGTCGCCTACCTCAATCAGGGCCAGGCCATCTCGGCCGCCTCCCTACCCAGCTCCGCGGCGGCGGCAGCGGCAGCCGCTGCTCTGCACCCAGCACTCGGCGCCTACGAGCAAGCGGCTGGCTACCCGTTTAGCGCTGGGCTACCCCCAGCCGCCTCCTGCCCGGAGAAGTGCGCCCTGTTCAACAGCGTCTCCTCCAGCCTCTGCAAACAGTGCACGGAGAAGCCTTAAACACACCCCCGAAAAACACAAGACCGACCCAAATGCTAGAGGAAAGCGAAAAGCTGCTCCCCACCCCTTTTATTTTGGTCCTCTCGTAGTTGTGAAACACTTGCTGAGCAAACAAAGCAGAGGCAAGAACTGAGAAGTATCAGAGACAAACGGGACTTTTAGCCTTGACATCCCCAGAATCTCGGTCTTTGGGGTGGGGAGGGAGGGAGGAGGGAGGTGGAGTTGGGATGGAGTATGGATGTCTATTTTTTTTTTTTTTTCTCAGAAAAGTGGCAACTTTGGTGGCAGCCTAGACCTCAAGGAAGCAAAGACTTCCTTAAAGGTGAAAAATAAGTTGAGAAATAGTGCTTGGTTATTAAGCGTTGAGAGTATTGAATGGCAAAATACTAATCCTACTAATAATTGTGAATTTGGCTAGTGCTGAAGGGGAGAGAAGGAGTCCAGGCTTGGGAGACATGTGGAACGGAATATTCATTCAGACAAATCAGAAAGGGCACTTGAAAATAAATTTTGATTCTGAGCCAGGAGAAAAACTTGAAATGTAGACTTATTTAAGTGGGGGGAAAACAGAGAGAGACATGTTGCTATGAAAGACTTGTATTTTTTATTGTCTCTGAACTTTAATCCTGTGAAAATGCTCAAAGTTCTGGCGAGAGTGATATAAAAGCAAACTGACTGTGGCTGAAAGAATTGCATTTAAAAATATTTATGTGCACCTTGTTACTTTCTACTCTGCAATGATGTATTAACAATTCATGGTATTTATTTGTTATTCTTCAATGACCCTTCCACATCAACAGTATTTATCATGTGTTAAGGTCATGGGTCTTATGTGCAGATTTTTTTAATGCCTCTAAAATTCTGTTTTATAGATTAACTTATACTGTGTGCCAAGTGTTAAAAGGTTTATTTGCCAACAAGTATGAAAAGAAATATTGATGTATCTGAGCTGCTTAGGTTTATGAAAGGTCACCTGGATATTTTCAGTTGCATCATCCCTGTATTTAAATTGAGCTTTAATAAATTGCTTCAGTCCAAAAATTACAGGAAAGGTGTATTCTTAATTGATGAATGAATTGATCTCTTTTTTTGAAAGGGGACTTATTTGCATTCCAAAAGGGAAAAAAAACATCACAGCAATAGATCCTATAAGTAAAAACATACTAAGCAAATATTTTTTTTCCAGGCTATGCTGTGCTTTTTTTTTTTTTTTAAAGAGGTCTAATTTAATTGCTTTTAAAATATATGTACATATATAAGTTATTTTAACTGTGGAAAATTATTTAAGTTTAAAGACTGGTTTGTTTTGTCTATGGTGTGAAATCCTTTGTTATTTTTCTAAAAAAAAAATTTAAAAAAAAAATAAAATAAAACTAAGGAAAAGCAAGAAGCTATTTACCCAAAGTGAGCTTTCAGTTTTAGTTTGCATGGCTGTTTGCCTGCATTTCCATCCTATGAAAATAAAAAAAATCTTTTTTTCTTTTTCTTCTTCTTCTTCTTCTTTTTTTTTTTTTTTAAATGGAGTCCTGTTATTTTCCACTCCTTGAAGATAAAACAAATTCAGTTTGTCAGGTTGGATGGTGAGTTGGGAGCTGTGATGGATCTGTTGGTGGGTTTGGATGTGTAAAGAATAATATATATTAAATAGGTCAATCAGAATATGACAGCTATGTATGACCATTTGTATGTGTATCTATGTCAGAAAGAATCTTTATTAAAATATTTTGATCAAACATTTTATTATGCTGTGCTTTGTGGAAGGAGCAACACCTCTCTTCTGTGTTACTTTTTGCTTGAAAGGTAACAGAACAGAAAGGAGTTTTCAGAGAAGGTGGAACTAAAATTTTGGCAGGAATGCACAATGAGGAATAGTCCTAGTTTACTTGTTTACTTGTTAAAAGGACAACTGCTAGGCCTGGCCATGCAAAGAGAGGTGAATGGGGTCAGTGGTGGGACCTAGAAGAGGTCCAGAGCTCCTGGCTGCTGGAATGAACTCAGAAGGCCATGCTTTCCCTGGAATTCTTTTCCACTTGAATGACATTGATAACCTTGCCAGAGCCCACCAAAGTGGGTGAAGTTTCTAAAGAGTTTTTATTCAAAATTTCTACTTCCAAATACTTGAAAGCCAAGGAAAAAGAGGGATTTAGATTTTCTGAACAATGAATCTTAATGTGGTTTTCCACTTTGTGTGTGTGTGTGTTAAAAGAGTCAATTGGCTAGGTTGAATTACATGTGTCAACAAATGCCCATAGAGATTTCCAGAGCTTACTGTAGGTGTTGCTGGTTAAAGAGATTTTTTTTTTTATATATATATTTGGATTGGTTTGGACCTGTATGCTACTGAAGGTTGAAGGATAATCTTGTATTTGACCTCTATATTGCTCTCAAATGTAGAAGGTGTGATTTGTATTGTAGTAGAGGTTATAGAGTTGGTGGTGATGGTGGTGGTGATATGGTGTTAAGAAGTCATGGTGTTTCCTCTGTAGCCAGTAATGTTAAATGCATTTTTGTCTGTGTAGCCTCAGCTCATAAAGATATCCCTAAATGCCATCAAACTTAGTGGGGGGTGAGGGAGGATATTTTCTGCTCCACTTGCCATCAAAGAAGATTAATCAGAACCTGTAACTTTTCAGAAAACATAACAGCAAAGGGCCTTGAAGCTGGAGCCCTCCCAGTCTGGGAGTGGGGGTAGAGAGAGGGAAGAGAACAGGGCAGCCCCCAGGCAGGAGAAGAACGTCTCTTAGCATTTACCAGACAAAGCCTGGGTGCATCTAATTATGATTATTAAAACAATTTCCATGACGATGTCTAATATTATGTTAATTTGAAAACAACTGTGTATGAAAACTGTCGACTATAATACCTAAATTCATTTAATGAAACACATCGTTAAGGCAATTAAACCTCCTGGATGTGATTAAGAAACATAATTACGACACTGTTCTGCGCCATAATTGGGTGTCTTTAATCAAGGGGTAAAGTGATCAGCAACACAGCCATTAGTTTGTATTGTTCTGGCCCTGCTGTCCATCATTCTGATTAGGAATTAACCACAGCCACCACCAGTCGGATTTTTTTTCCTTTTGCATATTAACATTGTAGGGGACACACTTGCTGCAAGATTTACTGCTTAATATTTCTCATTATTAAAAGGCCTCCTTGAAATACTTCCTCTACAACCTCTGTACTGTTCGAGTATTATTAGGAATTGGGCAGAATAAGAAACCTTGAAATTCAGAAGGAAAAAAAAAGAAATACTTACCCTTTAATCACTCAGCCTCCAGGTTTAGTCCTGAAGAGACTTGAAATGGATGGGGGTGGGAGCAAGAGAGGTAATTTGAAAATACGTTGAAATGTCAGATGAATAAGCAACTATTAAATGTACCAGAATTAATGATGTTTATTTTCATTTTAATAATTTCAGACCAATCAACCTCCTTTCTATACCTAAGAGTTTCAGCATGTGGTTGTAGGAATAGTGTGGGATATCTGAAAGAACAGAAGGTCTTCCAATTTACTTATGTGGCTCTCCCTACCCTAACCCCAACCTTTTCAAAATTTATGCTGCAGCAGTTTTTGGAGAAAAAACGGTGGTTGGAGTGAGAACGTTTTCACCCTCCCGACAAAACACCTGAGGCCGCATTTCTTCTGAGGTTTGRGCCCTGAATTTCCGCTTGATCTGGAGAGTTTGGGCCGTACATCTCTGGGCTGGGCCCCAGATGTGAGCACAGCTTGGGCAGCTGGATCAAGACTGGGTGACTGAACACCAGGGGGTCCAGTGTGTTCTTGACGGAAGAACAAGTGCCCTTGGGCCAGAGCAGGCAGTCAGGCCCTTAAGACTGTGGAGAGTGGCAGAGCATAGAGGTTCGCAGGGGAGACTGCTCTGGCACCCACCGCGCCTGGGGACACTTCTACCAGGCGCACCTCGGCGGGCCAATCCCTCAGTTTGGGTTCCTTAGGGAACTAGGAGTGGGCAGATGAATCCCAGGGAAAACTTAAGTTTCACTTGGCTTTTTAGACCCACTTTGAGTCTCTGGTCAGCTTGACACTGGACACAGAAGCTGCAGCTTTTCATTTACCCAGGACCAACAAATGATCATCTTCAGAAAGCTCTCTAGTTACCCCCTCCTCCGCTCTTCCCGTGGTGCGTCTGTGAGCGCGCGCGCCCGCGCGCGCGCTTTGCAGTGCGCTCTGGACTGCAACTGGCAACCCCTCCAAGACCCYGTTTTAAACCGAAATTCTTCCTCTCGTCGCCCCACCACCCATCCTCACAGCCGACAGTCCCCTAGGGAAGACCGAGTCTCGCGGAGTTTCCTTTTTCCACGCACTCTTGGTCACCGCAGCCAGAACCAAACCTTTCTAGGCGACCCCGACCCTGCGATTGCTCCAGGAAGTGGCGTTGACTTTTCCAATGTAATGACTTATGAAAGATATAATCATGTGTTAAATTGAATCCTCCGTTTAACTGTTAATGGTGTGCTCTGGGCACATTTACGTATTAGATGCTATGGTAACTAATTACCACTAGGAAAAAGGATAATACACTTCCCAGACTTTGAAAAATAATGATGGGAGTTCACTTCCCGGCTCGCAGCACATTGTGGCGGCTCTGCCCGGCGGAGCGAGGGAAGAGAGTGGAGATCCGAAAGTGTGCTCCTGGAACGCGGGAGGTAATGAATCCTGGTCAGGCGAGGCTTCTCAAGTCAAACCTTTAATGAAAATGAGATTCAGCTGGGGAATGGGGGGGCGGGGGTGGGGCATCAACTACACAAAGATGCCTCTACACCAAATTTAACTGCAAAACCTTAACATCAGAAACAAATGAGTTTTCTTTTCATTAAAATGCCTATCAGACTAAATTATCCACGTGCCAAGAAACTTTACATCAATGAACAATTTTTGTTGYTGTTGTTGTTTTGTGGGCAAAATAATCCAGCCTGTCTCCTGTGAGCTCTGCGTTGGCATTTGTAACTCGAAAGTCCCAGTATTTGCCAAGCCAA